AAATGCTAATTTCAGAACCACTCCATCAACTAAATCATAATCCCCGGAGATGAGAAACCAAACTGACCTTGTTAACAAACCATGTCACTAATGCCCGAGTATCACTGGACTAAAATCCTCCACTTAAGAGATTTTGAAATTTACTTGAGCATGTGTGAATGCATGTGTGTTATTGGATGACACCTTACTGGGGTTGGTTCTTTCCTTTTACCAGGTGGGTTCAGGCTTGGCACCAAGCACCCTTCCCTGCTGAGAAAATAAATGCTGTTATTTTCATGGTGCTTAGGGCTCTCCAGAAGCAAATACAAACATAACATTTAAGGGTATATTCTCTGACCTCATTATGGTACTGGGTTTTCTAGTTCCTTAGAGCACATGGATTCTGTGCTGCTTTGAAGTTGGGATAGCAAATGGCATATATTTGGCATGAATGTTCCCTCCTCTCCTTCTAGATACAGATTTCCAGGCTTAAGACAACATTTTATGGCAGGGGATCAAATATAACCACAAACGAGAAAAACCCTGTTTCCATTACTTCATCAAGAGCAAGGCACAGGGGCACAGGACTGGAATCTATATGGATGTCAAAGCTATTTGTGTGTATAGATAACTTATAAGCAACTCGTAATTAGTAAAGCCCAAGAAAAACTAGTTCTTTAAAAACATTTCTTAGTGTTGGAGAAGGAAGCCAGCTTGCAAACACTAGGCAAATGCTCTGTCGCGGAGGTACAGCCCTCAGAACTAGTGTTTGTAGTTAGAAACTGGTGAAAGGGTATTTATTTGGATCAAGTTTTCAGAACAATCCTTGGCAATTTGATATCATACGTCTTTATTCAATTTGGCTAATAAACAGTTGAATGCAAAAGTCCCATGTATTATTCCTAATAAACTCTCAGGGTTGAAAAGACGTAGATAACAGCTCTTTCCTCTATGTATACTATACTAAGTACCCACCTAGTCTGCCTATACAGTCTCTACTAGGCTGGCAAGCATGGAGTAAGTCAATCATTAAAAGTTAAGTAATTTTAAGTGTTATTCATTTGATTATTTTAGATAATTTGCTTAATGAGTGCCCTAGGGGAACAATCTACATTGAAAGCAATGGGTCCAACTGTTCACTAAGTACCATAAACTATGTTATATTGTTCCTCTATCTTGTAAGTACAGGGAAGCCTCAGAAAGATTGTGAAGATAGTGTTTTAAAGGAAATGAGTTTATTTTGTCTCACATATATATCTCAAGAAATAATCAGCATTTAAAGCCCTTAAGCCTATTTACCTAAACCATGAATCATTCATGTTACTTGATACACATTATAAAATTTAAGATTTGGAGACTAAAGTAATTTCCAGGTTCCGTCAGGTCTTAGTATCTTATATTCAGTAAGCTTGTAAGTAGTTTTTTGAGCAATCATTTATTTTCCTTTACTAAGATTTATATGCCAGAATTACTTAATAAATTAAAAACATGCTTCAGTATCCATATGTTTGCAAGATGATTTTCATGTCTTTATAATTCATCCCTGCCAGATATATCTTGAGATAGCTGTTGAAAAGTGAGAGGGAATTGGAAAGGTCACTAGACGTAATGAGTATAAAAAGAGAATAATTTATAAAACTCTAGTCAACTTAGAAAATGTTGCTTTCTATTTGTGAATCTCTCAAGTCAGTAGAAATAGCAGTGTTCTTTCTATCAGGATACTAGTTCTAAATCTGTCTACTACTATCTTTGTAGGTCAGACAGTCTCTCATCTATCACAGTAGTATTAATGCCTCAGATCTGTAGCAACCATTTTTCTGAGATGTGTTAGAAATGCAGTCTTAGACTTCTCCTTATTCCATCATTCCCAGTGCACAGAGATGGAGGTGGGTCCCAGCGGTCTGGTGTTTTAACAAGCCCTAAACTTTTTGAAAACCATCATCCTAAAGCAATGGAGAAAAACATGGGCCTGTCAATGGAGCACTGGTCTTGTTGGCAATTCCATGTGACAGGGACTGGAATCACATAGCCAGAGTATGGAGGAAGGGTGAGCTGTCAGTCAGATGGCAGGAAAAAGTTGTAAGAAACAAGCAAACCTCTCATAATATTGATAAGATTTATTTTCAAACTAATTTAACATAACCAGTTATCTTCAGTCCATAAACATGAAATTGTAGCCCCATATAGTGAGCAGTGTCTTTTCTGTCCCTAAGGACACAATCAGAATGATCCATCTATGGTCCCATCATCAGAACCCTTTCAACATTACTGATAATTACTTGAAATAGTTGACCAGGTTGAAGTTCAGCCTAGAATCTATTCTTAAGATTAGGTGAGTTCTATTTGTGAACAGCAACTTAAACCAAGTGAATAAATTTTCCTTTAAGATTGGTGAGATTAATAATCTCATTTATAGGGAATAGTTTTGGATAATAGAGTTCTCAGTAATCTGAAACTAATTTATTTTGAGTGGGGATGGATTATGTTTTATTACAATTGGTGTGTTTCTGAGAAAGTCTTACAGGTAGCTGGGCCTAATTGACCATAATCTTTGTTTTGGGTGTCAATTTGTTTGACAAATATACTAGTTGGGAAATATGGAGCCAATTTTTAAATCTCTGGAAAATTATAATGAAGATAATGTTATATAGATTACAAACAGTCCATATGAAGGGTATTATAGTAAAGCAGGTATTCAACATTGGCTATTAGCACTAATAAAACCTTTACTGATGCTTTTACCCCACCTCCAGATTGGCCTAATTTGTTGTATAGTCAAGAATGATCCTGAACTTTCTACTCATCCTAAATTATTAGCTATCTATGGAAAGGATGCCAAGAGTGGTCAAGTGAAGGACTAGTCCTCCTTTCTTACAGTCCATATAGAGCTAGATTATTTCAAAAAGCAGCTCTGGCCTTATTATGTTTTAGTTGAAAAATAAATAGGATGAATGCAGGGCCATGGCGGTAGAAAGCCATGCTCTTACTGAATCCCATTCGGGTACAGTAGTGGGAAGGGAAGATTCTTGGTGAGCTGAATTCTACAAGTCTTTTTATACCTGGTTATAACATGGTAAACTTTTTAGAGTACTTACTAAACAACAATAGATCTCATCCTGTTAAGAGTTCTAGATTGTGAAATCATTGTTACAAATTTTACTGCCAGTGGGAGGGCGTGGAGGCCGATAAAGCAGTTTCTGAAGCAAATTAGCAAGAACGTTCTGGATTTAGGTCCCCGTTTTCTTTACTCTTAGCTCATTACTGTATGGTTTTGACCCGCTGTGAAGTTTTCACACTTCAAATGTGTACTTTTAGGGAAAGCTGTTTACCATGTTTGGCGGTAGGCTGAAGGAAATTTCTACAAAACGACAAATGCAAAAAACTAACAAACCACACTGCTCTTTCCTGTTCCGCTGAGATTCCAACCACCACCAAGAGGAGCAACTGAGAACCGCAAAGATACTGCTATTTTGAGGAGAGGAAGGAGCAAACAAAGAATTCTGTCTACAACAGTCAATTCACTCTACGGAATTTGTTCAAAACCAACCAGCTGAATTGCTACTGTCAACCACCACCAGGCCAAAGACATGGAACCTTCTGCAAAAACAGAATTGTATGTGTACCAGTGTTTCTAAGACAATCAAAATATTTGTGTGCTTGTGCTCTTTAAAACACAAGTAGTTACTCCTAATGCTGTCTCTGGTAAATAGTCTGCCGAGAAAGGCATCATTCTCTTAACATGGTTTTGGTAGGTGGTGGCACGGCACAATGGAGGGCTAGAGTGCCCGCAAAAATGCCCACAGCCTATCTACTCTCCACTCAGCAACCCTTGGATTTTCTCAAAGCTTAAACAGCAAATAAACCATTAGGATATTTAATCTTTGCACACTCCAGCAAGCATAGACGTATACAACAGATCCATTCTGTTCCAGGTAAGGGTTCTTCCTTGTGTTCAAGATTATTTGAAGGACAGTATTCAATATGGCCAAGGAACAGATGATTGAGGTCAGCACTCCACGCTCTGGGACACTATGATGACACTAGCCACATACACTTAGCGTTGTATTTACGATTATTTCAGGGGTAGCGTTTGGACAATGTCGCTAGGTTTTAAGAATTAGTTTGTCATGTGGAATTAAGAGATGATTATAGAATATATAGAACAAGCCACACTTCCTTCAAAAATGAGACTTCACATTTAAAAATGCTCCCCTCGAAATATAAAGCAGAAGATAACGGTAGTATAAAGCGTAAGACAATGTAGTTGGTATGCAGCAACTGTTCTGAAGGGTCCAAGACAGGACTTATATTTTGTGTGGCCAAGGAGATCCAGATGCCACACAATTGACACCACTGTGGCTTCTGGCTAATTTCCAGCACTCGCACCCTTCACCTACTGACTCTTTCACACTCCACTGATGCAGATTTTAAGTTCAGGAGTGACCCAACACAGTTATTTTTTTTTTTCCACATGAAGAATGTACCTCACAGAAACTGAATTACTTCTTCAGGGCCAGCTCATGTATAATAGAATCAGGTCTTACGACTTTCTCAGTTCCTCTGTTCAGGGTTAAGTCAGGATTGGGAATTGTTTTCCTTATTCACATGAGATGGATTTCTTGTTATAGAAAAAAAGAGCTACTGCCCTTTAGTTTCTTTTCTTTTTGCTACTTTTATGCAAACTCATAAAATATATAATAAAATCACAAAGAGTATTATCCCACAGAACCATGTTCTCTATAGTACTTTCTGATGTGAGAAATTCTGGCTTTGGTTAGTTAAATCAGCCAGATTTATACCATTAATTTAATAAAGATTAAGAAAAGAAACTTTCCTTCAAAATTACCCTTTGAACAACTCAAATACTTAAATACTGTAGGAAATCTCAAAGGTCAGTTCCTTTTTTTTGTTGTTGTTGTTTTAATCTTATTTCCTGGAACCCAGAAACTTTATAGAACGTAGTAAGAACAAAGTATAAGAGGGTAAAGTAAGAAGACACACAATTGCTATCGAGTGTCCGAGTCAATCTTAAGAGACACTTTTATTTGAACAAGCTATTTTCATCATGCTCGTATAAGGAAGCACCTTCCCTGCCGCAGTGACTACTGCAGTCAGCGTGTTGGTGGCTGTCGCTGTATCCAACAAAAACAAACAATTTTCACAAAGGAAACATGAACAAGATAAAATTTAGAAAGGATGATTTATCAAGAACTTCAAGGGAACTCTAACTAGAAATCAAAAATTACTAATAATTTTGCATTAAATTTAAACACAATTTTTAAAGATGAATTTGCCTTTTTTGGGTCTATTCTCTATAAATACAGAGAAATGTGAACACACCGTTTAAGTTTAAACAATTTATGAAGATCTTGGCCAACTTTACAGATCCAACAAAGGATGGTGAGTTAGTCATTAAATACGATGCAATTCTCTCATGATTTTAAAATGTTTAAAAGATCATGCCTACTGACACTATCTTTCTCCTGAACAGCAAATTATGCCAACCGCACAGATACTACTATAAAGTTTAAACCGTGCCTTTCCACAGTTTTCATATTTTGTTCTCAGAAAGTTTGCCAATACCAACCTATTAAAAGAATCCCTCCGGGGCTGAACGATAGCTCAGTGGTTAAGAGCACTGACTGCTCTTCCAGAGGACCAGGTTCAATTCTCAGTACCCACATGGCAGCTCACAATTGTCTGCAACTCCAGTTCCAGGGGATCTGACACCCTCACACAGACATACATGCTGATAAAAACATCAATGCACACAAAATAAAAATAATTAAAAAAGAATCCCTCAATCCATGTTTAGGATGTATTTCTAATTCTGTTAGATCTTTTACCCTGGTTGCTTTCTCTTATAAAACTGAGGGATGCAAGGGCAAAATATTTAATGTTTCAGGTTTTTTCTTTCCTTTTCTGGGTAGTCAACAGAAAAGAGAAGGGGTCTGATAACGCACACCTGATGAACACGAGTTCCGTCCCCATCCCCCCAGGACCGTGGGAGAGCTACTGGAGTAGTCTAACACTCGCCACTTGTTCCCTTTGGTCTAACCTTCCTTTCCAACAGTTCCATCTGCTCTGCCACATTCGTCCAGCAGGTGACTTAGCTGTACTCATGGCCTCTTCCTGAGTTACCCCCAAATCATCATAGTCCCAGGATTTCTGACAGACTCTAGGGCATTAAAAAACAAGGTGAAAAAAAAAAGGCCCAACTTTCTCAGGGTTGGGAATGTGGCTCAGTGGCTAAGTGCTTGCTCAGCACTGGCTTGGCCCTCAGTTCCCCAGACCCATCACACACACACACACACACACACACACACACACACACCCCAAAACAAATTCAAGAAACAAACAAACAGAAGAATTAGTGCTTTAAATGATTAGCAACAGTGCTGTTTCTTTGTGGAATCTTGGATTTGAAGAGCTGTTAAATCAACTTTATACCTTTCTTATACAAATAAATATTTCATGTTAATAACGCAAGGAGTTTCAACAAAGCCATGACATAAAATCTTTCACGGCAGTTCTAAAGCTCATGTACTCATAATGACAAGGTCTTTGGATGAAAAACAGTAGCACAGTTAGTAAAAACCAAAAGCTATCATTTGTTAAAGCTTTTAAATATCAGTGCTTTTCATTAGAGAACACAGTTAACCTCACGCACCACTTGGCTATATTATTTAATATCCTGATCCCCAAGAACTAATGTGTTACTTCGGGAGAAAACAGCAATAGTTTTTGAGAGAGGAAAATAGGGTGATATGGAAGGTGAGGTGGTTAGGTATGGGAAAGGACTAGGATGTGAAACTGCATATTTGTACACTGAAAATAAACACAGACATTTGTAATCTAAGTCAATAGCAATGGATTTACATACTATTTTCTTGATGTCTTTTCTGTATGACATAAAAACTAAATGATGTGCTAACCAAATAAAACATGACATTTAGTAAAAAGGAAAAAAATTCCTTAAATGCCAGACCTAAAGTTGATAGTCATGTATTGGAAGGTGAATATGTTTAAGCATTTAAAAAGAACATATGCACACACATGTTTGCACATGACTCTAAAATGAAACTCAAGAAATTGATAACACTAGTTGCTACTTTTTGCTGTACTTATTATTATTATTTTGGAGACAGAGTTTCATGTAGCTCAGGCTATCCTCAGAGTTGCTAAGCAGTCGAGGATGACCTTGAACTTTGTTCCTCCTGCCTCTTCTCCCCAGTGTTGCTGTGTGACCTGTGGTGTTGCAATCAAACCCAGGGCTTTTTTCATTCTAGGCAAACATTGCATCAACTAAACTACATCCTCAGTCCCATAAACCTGGTACTATATGAATATTTTTCCCCATTAAAAATGTTAAAACTTATTAGTAAAATAAATTTAAATGACTGAAAATGTCTGAACAGATTAGGAACAAAGACTGACTTTTTCCATTATACGAGAGAATAGTAAAAATTTTCTGTAAGATCTACCTATGCATATTTGACCATATTTCCTTTATGGCAGACTTACTGTGATTTAAAACCCAATTTTCATACAAGACTGAATTGGGAAACACATTTTTCCTGTACTCCAGGGCGACAATACTGTAGACTACATACTGTCTCAACAGTATGCTAATTCTGTATTCACTTCCTTTGATGAGCTAGCCATTAGCCACAATTTCTCCAAGAAGCCAAGACATTGCTAAGGAAACATCAGAAAGATTTCAATAAATCTTATCTCGCAATGACAAAATTTTTTATCTGTACCATTCTGGAGGCACAGAATTAATCTTATCTTCTTTTGACAAAACACCTTGCCAAAGATGTTTGATGTTTGGGTAAAGACAGATTTCAGACTAGGTGGCAACTCACCAAAGCCCTTACCTAAAGTTTGGAAGAGGATTTTATGGTTTCAGTAAAAGACACTTGGAAGGAAGCAAGAAAAAAACTTACATAAAAAAAATCTCATTTTTCAGAAAACCAATTAAAATTCAAATGAAGCCTCGTTCTTTTAAATATTAAATAATCTATAAAACAAATGTAAAGGAATGACAATAAATACATCAGTTTTCAATGGTTGCTGCTGATTAAAAATGACTATCTGAGAGTATAGCCCAATCCATCCTCTTCAAATTGTGCAGCTCAGATAAATGTTTATTTTACTGAAAATATTTGCAAAATTACAATATAAATACATGATTATATTAAGATAAGATGACTATATATAATGTTTCTTATCTATAGATATAAAATGAATGCAATAAATATAGCACACTCTTGATGAATTGTTAGTACACAGTGTTTCTCAGTAAAGCACATACAACCTATTATTAAGCAACAATTATCTAGTTTTCAAATATACATCTTCAACTGTGTTCAGGGTAGAAGGATACACCAAATCCCCCAGTTCCCTTTTAAGTTGGTGAAGGTTAATACTTTCGCAGATTTTAAAATATCCTATTTATTTAGCAACTTATAAAGCTCTTTATATTCCTTACTTGAAACTTTATTTCTTTAGTCTGGTGATCTTAAAGTACGGTGGTACTTTCAATTCTAATGCTGTCACATGTACTGTCTTTTTATTAGTAACTTAAAACACATTTTAACAATGAAACAGAATCATTAAAAAAGTTATCTCACCAGATTCCCCAATTTCATTTTTAGACTATTACGGGAAGCCTCAAGCAGATATAGTCTGAACTGCAACACTAATCTGGATTCGGAATAGTTTGATATTATTCTAGTCCTTAATACAAATATGAAATCTACTTTAAAATTCCTGTTAAATGAGATATGTTTTAAAAGCATCTTCTGCCCTTCTCCATCACACCGACTTCATGGGAACCTGTTACAATAGTTCTTACACAAACATATGCATGCAAGAGATCACCCTACAGATTCTAACTACGTAGTTACTGAAACACGTCCGGCCTGCCAAGTGGCGTAAATGTACATCTTCTATATACAAAAGGTAAAGTGCATTATTAAATTAGTGAACTGACAGATTGTCTGCCTGGACCATATAGCTTTCAAATAGACAAATGTGAAATTCTCCCATCAGAGCCAATTATTTCAAGAGGCTCTAAATAGCTTTTCCACCCTGTCACTTATTTACTTATTTTTTTTGGCCATGCTCTTTAGTGCAAATAAGCCTGTGTTTGACTCAAGTTTAAGGGACATGGCAGTTTGGGGCTTTAAGAAGGAAAATAATACAATGTGGCAGAACTTGAGTATCTTTATAATACATTGCATCTTTTGCATATAAGCGGCACGCTCGTGCTGCTTTCAATTGCTAGGAGCACGCTGCCAACTACTGAGGAACCCGTTTCCAGATTTTATACTATTAGCTTATATCATGACAGTTTGAGTCTGTCCACATTATGCTCGATTACTATGTGCAAACATCATCAAGGTTTTAGCATTATACAGTGAACTACTAATTTTGGCTACTAACTTCAATGCTCTTTTTTTTACTTCGAACATCCAGTTTCCTTAAGAGTTTAATGCCTTCAAGGCAAGGATCCTGTTATTTTGAAGAATAACCATGTACATTTGCAGCTCCATTTACGTTACAAATGACAATAAATAAAATTTATATTGCACAGATAAAAATAGTAGTAGCTTATACGATACATGGCAATACACATCCTAAATCCAGATGTTTGAACTGGATCACACTTAATTATGGCTAATGAACTCTTGGGAATTTTAAGTATCAAAAAAAATCACATCATCATACCATTTTTCAATGAATATAATAACTACATAAAGGCAAACAAAGGATTGGTAAAAGTCTTAGTGATTCTAAAGTGTGTTCAATTGCCAGTATATATGTATCTACCCAATTTGAGTAGCTTTGAGATGGCGAGGACTTTGAAGTATACATACAACATAGAAAATCTGGCTATTTAACTAGTTCTTTACTTAAATAATTAATGTGAAATGAAGCTAATAATATGTATATACAGTGAATTAAATATATTTATCTTCATGTCTGACATAGTACTGTGTGTATGCATACATGTAGGTATATACACACTCAAACCTTATCAGACTAAAAATCAAAAAGAAATCAGTTGGTCCTAATGGATAGATATTTTAAAAAGGAAGATAAGATTTTATGAGTGTATCCACTCACAGCAATAGTGATAGAACAATTGAATAATGGAATCTTCACAGCTCCAGTTTGCCGAAATCTGACAGGTTGATTACTATTAATAGGCACTATGATGGGCAGCAACAACAATCAGTAGTACAGTAATTCAAGTGCACACCACTCCTTCATATACCCCAAGCTACTTTTAGCAAGCCTACAGAATACGTTATTTTACAGTTAGGACTGTTTAAGAATCCTTGCTACTTTTATAGCTGCAACACCCACCATGTGCTATTAACTTTAGAACTAACATTATCTTCTAACCTTCAGGTGTTCCAAAGTGATCCAGATGGTCAGGATGATAATAAACTGAGTGAGATTCCATCACAGTACTTCAAAAAATGTCAAATATTACCTGCAACCAACACCACTATGTGTGTCTGTCTGGGTTACTAGCTGCTTGTTCTTCAGTAATGTAAACCAATGAAATCAATTTTCTTAATTCATTTCATAGTTTCCTTAGTGACCCAAGTATAACATGTTTGGGAAAAAGTTCTGGAGGGAAAATTGTTAAAAATCAATTCTGAATTCCTTAGAGCACAGAAAAGCCACATTCTGACTTCAATCCTTGCAGCCAGCTCTCATCAATGAGAACTGTATTTGGGGAGCTGAAATGAGTGTCGTCGCTGAAAAATGATTATAGGGACTTACGGTGGGGCAGTAACCAATCCCAGAACAAAACACAGTTTCAGAATCAAATGTATCTCGACAGATGAAATTTCAGTCAGATAATAAGGGGTGTTGATACATGTATATTCTATACCCATTTGTTTAAAAATTGCTTGAGTGTTTAAAAATTCAGGTGGCACTTTCTAGAAAGTGATTTTTAATACAGACAAATGGATACGTCTTGTATAGAATAAACCTCTTTAGGAATCCTAAGTAAGGAGCACCTTGGAAATTGCCTGAATTTTCCTTTGAGATGTTTAGAATCAATCTTATTTCCAAATATTATATTTCCCAGACTGTAATTTTGTATTCTAAATGCTTTTTTGCTTTTTGTTTTTTTTTTCTTCTCAGCAAAAAAGGGTTTTTCTTCTGGAGTTAAAGTATCTGTATCAATACCAGGTTTATACTGGGAGTTTGACACGGTCTTTAAGTGCAGCAAATGTTAAAGTGCTACTAAAATATATTAGGAGATGTATCTTTACATCACTCAGCTGCTGCGCCAACCCTATGAAATACATGAGTAGGGAAGCATAAAATACAACACTTTGAAAGTCCATGACAGAGTTTAAGGAAAAACGACTGCAAATTACCATGAAAGGCTAAAACATCAAAATTTCCATACAAAGCCACTGGGTAAAGCCTCCCTCTCCACAGCGACATAAATGTAATTCCCAAAACTTTGGAAAGCCAATAAAATACGTAGTATAGGAAACAAATGAGATTGTAACTAGCTTGGAATAATCCATTAAAACCTTTCCATGGCTTTGATACGGCAACTAAAACTGTAGGGTTACCACAAAATTTGAAATTATTGAACACTCTATATAGTAACTGTTAAGAAATATGATATAATATCTTAAAGGTTTAATTATCTAGTAAGAGTTGATCTTTTAGACTGGTACTAGTTAATATCCAGTTACCCAATGAACATATCCCTACTTTGCTAGACATATACTATACTTGAGGTCAATTTCTATTTCTGTGGTAACTGTCTACAGGTAAACTTGGCGGCTTCTAACCAAGTATGAGTGGGACTTCCTTCGGGGCGAGGATTTGTTAAACAGAAATTCACACTTTTCATAGTTAAGTATATGCATTATTTTCAGGGTCATGTCATAGTGCAATGTAAATCTCAGCTATGGTGTTTAAAGGTCAGAATGTCTCACTCTGTGCTGATCTGCATACTTCAATCGTCTGCAGCAGTTGAAGCAGCTAAACTATTTAGCCCTGGGGATGCTGGAATTCCCATGAGGGGTATAGTGAGCTATGGATAACATAACATGAGAATCAGACTTCTTGAAGTATAAACTATTAGAGGTATCACTAATAACAAGGGGCCCAAAAAGAGGAAAAACTTCTTCAAATGATTACGGATCAGTACTTTTTTTTAGCCAATTAGTGATTTTTAAATTTTGCCTGATGGAGTTCAATGTCACGCTAGTCGAGGCTTTCTTGTTCTTCACCACTGGCCCTTCTGCCATCCATTCTCTTTTCTTTATGGCTGTTGCAAATTTTCCTCATCTCTTCTTCATACTTGATAAAATTCTCCCCAAACCTTGTCCAAGCTTTGAAGGGAACAGTAATAGTATTACGGTAAGGTGGCCTCACCTCACTTACCTTCAGGAAAATTCCATATTTATTAGAGCCCACATCAAAGTAGAACCTTTTATTGTCCACTCTGAAAGAGGTCCCCTCGGGGAGTTCAAGTGGCTCGTCATCTCCACATCTTCGTTCTTCTATATCTCCTTCACCATAGTCTTCAATCAGCTGAACCAAGGCATCGCGGAATTCAATCATTCCTTGTGCTGGGAGGACAATAGTCTGTTCCTGACCCAAACTGTGGCCAAAATAACCTATCATGCCAGTGCTCCGCATCATGGTTTGTCTAATCCTCAGGAAACGACCTCGCTGATTCTCCTTTAGGTCTAGGTAGTATTTCCTATTGTCCCTCTCTATATAGTCTGTTTTGAGGACACTGTGAGGATGCTCTTCGGACCCCACCGACACTGGTGGAGAGGGTGCAGAGTGCTTCTGCCGCCTCCTGGAGACTTGCTCCTTGCTCTGGCCATGCTCTTGCCTGTGGCCTTTCAGGCCCAGGTGGGCATAGTGTTCGATGAAATCGCCTAGACAGTCCTTCAGCTCCGCGGCCACCGATAGGGAGAGGGTCAGTTTACTCTTTCTGATATTGTCCTGCCGGCCTCTCCCTATCCAGACTTCAGCTATCTTTAGGAAGCGGCCCCGGGAGCTTTGCTTCACGTCTAGGTAAAACCTCTTTTTCTGGATGTCCACGCGTTTGGAGGCCAGCTCCTGGATTTCGGATGCGCCTCCAGCCTGATTAGGGGTGGCTGACGCGGAGTAGTGGGGGTAGTGAGAGTGCTGGGCCTGGGGATAGAGTCTACTCTTGCTTAGGCCAGAGCCCCCTACATTCTTGCCTCCGCGGCCACGGCCGCCGCCACCGCCGCCTCCCCTTCGCCTGGCTCTTTCCATCTTCAGCTGCAAGTGACAAACAGACACACGGGGTGGGATGGGGGAGGGGTGTTGAGAACAATCGCAGACGCCCCTGGGTCCGCACTGCCCCCGCCGCCGCCGCCCGGAACCCCCACTCCGGCCCGGCTCTCGCGCTCCGGCCTCGGCCGGCTCCGCACCACACCGCACACGCAGCATCCCTCGGCCGCTCCGGGCCTCCCGTTCCGATTCCCGCATGACGCCGGCTGCCCAGCTCGGGCTCGGCAGCCCCAGGGGTCCCCCAGCCAGCGGACACTCACATCATCTCCGTCACCGCCATCGATGCCCTTCACGACCACCGCCGCCGCCGCCAGCTCTCGGCCCCTCCGCCGCAGCCGCCGCCCCCCCGCCTCCTTCCCCGCCGCCGCCGCGCGCTCTGCCCCCCGCCGGAGCAGCGGGGCAGGGGCATCGCCTGCGGCGCCCACCGCCGCCGCCGCGCCTCCTGCGGCCGCTGCCTGGATTCGGGCACCGGCCCGACGCCGCGGGGAGGGCGGGCAGGCGGGAGGGAGGCGGGGAGCTGCCGGCGGGGCCGGGCTGCGGACCCCGCCTCCCCAGCCGCGCTAGCGGAAAGAGGGGGGCTCGGGCTCTGCCTCCGGGCGCGCCCTGACGGCAGCCAGCGCGCGGGGACCCGGCGTGCGTGAGAGCCGGCTGGAGAGGTGGCGGGAGCCTGTGACTTCCCGCGGCTCGCCCGCACCTGTTTCGGGACTACATTTCCCGGCGTGCCCAGCGGCCGGCAGCTTTGAGCATGCGCGTTGCGGCGGCCTACAAGGATGGCTGCGGTGGGAGGGCGGCGGGGCTCGGGGAAGCTGGGCGGGGCCGCGGGCAGAGTGCAGTCTTCAAGGTAGAAGTGCACCTTGGCGCCTGCTGGTGTAAAGTTAGCGTGTGCGGGGCATCGCCCGCAGCCTGGGTTGTGGGCTTTGGTTCTCCACCCTCCATAAGTCATCCTGCTGAAGGAGAAGACCCGTTGATGTGGCTGTTCTCAGGGTAACGTGCCTTCCACGCTTTTGCTTCTCCTCTCAGCGTACCCTGGGCTGTATCTATGCACCTTGCACCCTTGGTCTCCCCCTGGCCTCCCGGGCAGACCTCTGGGGTTCTGTTGGGGAGAGTCCTGGAAACGAAAGCTGCCTCCTTTCTCCTTCAGATCCCGAGGAAAGGGGCCTCGGAGCCACAGGCCTCCTCTGATCCCGTCAGTTAGTAGACTTACCCGCCCCTTCCGCCCGCTGCTGCTGCTGCTGCTGCTGCTGCTGCTGCTGTTCCTCAAGCCCTGAGAGTCCCGCTTTCTAATGAGGGCTGCGGCTGACAGAACTGAGTTAGAGGAAGCAGCTGGCTTTCCACAGTTGGGCAAATTGCATTGGATGTCTTAAGTTCAAGTCATTGTACTTAATGGATTTTTTGTTGTTGTTGTCTTGTTCAATATGAGCTGGTCTCCGATAGACGTGATGTGTAAAAATCCTGGAGAACACTCTTTAGGGTGCTAATTCAGAGTCCCCAAATGATAATAATTTAGGCTTTATTTTATTTTGGCTTTTGTTGAGGCAGGGTTTCTCTTCTTGTAGCCCCTTCTACTTTCAGCCCAGGCTGTCCTCGAACTGAAGACAGTCCTGTGATGCCCTCCTGACCTTGTGTTAGAGACTGTCTGCAAAGCCTGGGTTGAATAGGGCAGTTGAGTACTTGATGCTGTTGAATTCTAGTCTTCCTTCCTTTTTTCTCTTGCCTCGAGGATGAAAGGCCGAGACACTCACCTCTTTATTACAGCGCTCTGCTGTAGACTGACATGGCAGCCCTGTGTGAGTTAAGCACATCATTGTTGAACTCTGCTCAAGGTGTTAGAGATATCAAACAGGGAGAAAATTTATCCTTTTAGAGCTTAAATTTTAGTGGGAAGAGGAATGCAAAATGCCAAGTGTAGCACTAGAAAGTAGGAATGAAAGAGGAATGAAGGCCAGTGTGTGCTGGGAGCTATAGTTTCCCAATAGGTCCTCCCCGTGAAGGAAGTGAGGAAAAGAAAAGTGCAAAGGTAACTGAAGGAGGCCACTTATTGTTAAGAGCAACCTAGAAGGGCCATTAAGGCAGAGAAAATGAGACTGCTGGTTGAGACCAGACAGTCTGTGCAGGGTTTGTTGACTGTATTTGTTGAGGCATTTGGAACATCATGCTGACGAGTTGGCAAGCTATTGGAGACCTGTCAGGGAAACAACTTTATTAGAATAATCCTTAAAGTCATGCGGCGGTGCACACCTTCGATCCCAGCACTCAGGGAGGCAGAGGCAGGCGGATCTCTGTGAGTTTGGGGCCCTCTGATCTACAGAGCGAGTTCCAGGACAGCCAGAGCTATACAGAGATACCCTGTTTCGAACAATAAAAGGAATAATTGTAATACACACATAATATAATTTGGCAGTTTAATAATGTAAATACAATTCAGTGATATTAACTACATTCTTCATGTGCAGATATCACCAGTATCTACTTCTAAAATATATTTTTTGTTTTTGTTGCTTTGGGTTCTTGTTTGTTTTTGGATGCTAAATATCTTTTACTGAGCCACACCCTAGCCCTATTTCCAGTACTTTCTCTTCATCCTAAGCAGAAACTCTTTAACCACGGAACAATAACTCCATTGCCTCCTCTTCCCAGGCCCCAGGAATTTGCAGCATATCTTTTATGAATCCACCCATTTCAGATAGTTCATGTAAATAGGACCATAAATATTTGTCCTTTTGTTTCTGACAGATGAGACTCAACATGTTTTCAGTGTCTCTCTGCTGTGGTGTATAGCTGGGCTTAATTCCCATTTTAAGGGTGAATTCTATATCATTATGTATATGTACCATACCTGCTTATCCTTTAAACTACTGATAGATAGGTTGTTTCCTCTTTTTATTGTGAATACTGCGGCTCTAAATGGTGTGTGCATATCTGTGTCCCTGTTTTAATTTTTTTCAACATATACTTATATATGGGAATGGTCTTTCTGCACTATATGATAAGACCAGAGGTTGATGTTGGCTCTGATCCTCAATCACTTTTCACCCTAGTTTTTGAGACAGGGTCTTACACTGTGCCTGGGACTCACTAATTCAGCTAGCCTGGTTAGGTAGCACGCGCTTGGAGCCCTGGGCCCTGCCTCCCCTGGATCAGGTTCACACATGGGCACTCCCTTGTCTGATTTCTTATTTATTTATTTACAAAATGCATAACTTATAACAAAGTTAGAAAAATAATGAAAGCTATCATAGTTGGATGTGTTCAGGCTGTAGAGGACCAAAGTTATTTTTTTATGTGGGTGCTCATGCTCTGACTAAAGCATTGACTGAAGTCTTGCCCCAGCCCCTTGGTTCTTTTTGAGACAGGGTCTTACTTGCCTTGGAACTAACTCACTTTGTAACCCAAGTTGGCCTTGACTAGTGACCTTTACCGTACCTCAGCCTCCCCAGTGTCCAGATTACAGGAATAAAGTGGCATTTTGGGCAGGAAATGTACTATTAAGATGGAAGTTGAAGGCCAAAGCGAGATTGGGACTAATTAAAAGTTCGCCAACAAGGCTTTCTTCCCATCTCTGCTGTCTTCTGTGTGCTGGTTTTACTTTCTGGCTTTTACCCCATGCAGGCTTCATTCGTGGCAGCAAAGTGGTTGTAGAAGGTCTCAGCGTTACATTTTCAAATAGAAGCATCACGGTAGGTCATTTCCTTAAAAGAGCAAGACTTCTTGTTTGAAATTTTCCTAGAAATCTCCAAAACTCTTCTTGTGTCTGTTTGGACTTGAATCGTGTATTTTGTTCTTAAACCAAATGCAGGCTATGGCTTTGGTCTCAGGCCCGAGTTTCCGAGCCACTGTGCAAGGCACCTTTTGGCCAACTGGGTCCCCTACAGGGCCTGGCTTAGTAGGTAACTGTTCATTATCTGAATTAAATTTATTGGTGTGATAAAGAGAGTCTAGTGCAGAATGGATGCTGTCTAGGCAACTATGAATGTCCTCTTAAAAATGAGACCCATAAAATTTCATCTCAGGCTTTGTGAAGTATGAGTAATAAATATAAGAAGAAAAGTAGACACCTAAGCAAGTTTTAAATGGACTTACTTGAAAACTTTCTCTGCTGTTTCCCAGTTTATAATGATGGATTTTAGCTGACTTGCTAAAGCTACTCACAGAACAGAGGAAATTCATTAAAAATAATGAATTATTTAGTTGGATGGTGAAATTCAGTTATAAAGTGTTTCCCTGTGCCATGGATTCAGTTCAGGTCAAGACATCTTCCTGGTTTATGGGCAGTGCAGCTTCTTAGCATTATACTGGAGAGAGATGGGAAGAGAGAGGGGGAAAAAGAGGGGGAGGGAGAGGAAAGGAAGAGAGGGAGGTGGTGGGCGAGGTGTGGAGGGAGAGCAGAGGAGAGGAGAGTCCTTTTCCTTTTTCTTTGTTGCTAGCCCTGTAATTTCATTGTCTTGTAATTGATTGATTTACATTCGTACCTTATTTTAGTTGGCCCTTATTAATACAAACCCATGTCTTATATAATATTTGACAGTTAGGAAATAGGCATCTCCAAAACCATCCTATTAGTACTCAGATTGCTTTGACTACCACGGTTGAGTGCCAATAGGTAATTTTATTTAGATTTTCTTTTCTTTTTTTAATTTGGACTGTTTGGAGGGAAATTGAGACTAACAAAACTTATGATAGTTTAGTGAAAGTCTTAATATCTATTTAATTAAGGAACCTAATGAGAACTTTATTATAAATTTCTTGGTTGCTCTGTTTTCCTCATTCCTGTCTCATTCTTATTTATATATCTTTAAAATAATCAGTACGTTTGTATATAAAACATATATATGCATACTAGTTGCTAGTAAGTGTAGCCAATGTGTACAGTCTCATTTTTTTCTGAATATGTAAATATAACAGATTAAAAGAAATCAAGATCAGATTTTTTTGTTTTTATTTATTTATTTTGTTTTTTATTTTTATTTTTTAAATCAGCATATAAAGCATTTGAATAAAGAGTTTTTGTGGTTCTCTTGCCTTTTGTCTTTTCAGTCCTTCTTTCTGCCTTTCTTGCCTCTAGACTCCTCCCTCCTCACTCTCCATTCCCTCTTCTGTCTCCTTTCCATCCTTCCTCATCGCCTAGTATTACCCTCTCATGGTTTCCTTTCTAGATTTTTAGATTTGCCCACATTAATCCCTGTTTTGTTTTTTTTTGTTTGTTTTTTTTGTTTTGTTTTGTTTTGTTTTTCGAGTCAGGGTTTCTCTGTGGCTTTGGAGCCTGTCCTGGAACTCGCTCTGTAGACCAGGCTGGTCTCGAACTCACAGAGATCCGCCTGCCTCTGCCTCCCAAGTGCTGGGATTAAAGGCGTGCACCACCACCTTTTCACATTCGAGCATCTCTGTGTGAGCGAGAGCGTGTGGCTTTTTTTTCTTTTTGTTTTGTTATCTCACTTAATATTATATTCTCCAGGTCCATTTATTTTTCCCGCAAATATCATTTTTCCTCACTAAACTCGAATGTGAAAAGGTGTTAACTTTAAAATGCACATTTGTGTTTGTGCCTGCACATGAATGTGGTCTGGTCACCAGGCTCCCAGGATCCTGCTGTCAATACTGCTCCAGTACTGACTGCCACAGTGCCGGCTTTCTTTTGTCTTTTTGGTGTAGTACCTGCGGTGCAGACTCTGATCTTCATGCTTACCTGCCACGCACTTCAGCTCCGGGAACTGGTTTTATTGGAAGTTGCTTTGCAGTAAAAATAAGATAATTGTGTCGCTGAAATCCAAATTGTCTTATCAAGATTAGAAGCCATGATAACCAAACTGCATTGCTGAAGCCTTTCAGTTGCTCTGGTTTATAAGTTTTCTGTGTTAGATTACTCTATTACTTACCCCGTCTTATCAACTGCATTGCTGAAGCCTTTCAGTTGCTCTGGTTTATAAGTTTTCTGTGTTAGATTACTCTATTACTTACCTCGTCTTATCAACCTAGTAGTCATTGGA